AAAAGAGATTTTGTCCTGCAGAACTACAGGCCCATCTCAAACCTCCCTTCATCAGTGAGATTATTGAAAAAATTGTGTTTCAACATTTAAATATCTTCTTAAAAATGACCAGCTGCTCTGATTTCTCCCAGTCAGCTTTCCTTTCTAATCACAGTACAGAGACTACCCTGATTAAACTGTTGAATGACATCCATATAAATTCAGACTTTGGATGAAGCACCGTGCTGGTATTATTGAACCCCATTTCAACATTTGACAATGTTGATTTAGTGGATTTTATTATAGCATCTGGAAACCTTTGTTGGCCTTTCTGGTACAGCACTTTAGAGGTTTAATTTCTACTTGAAGGATAGGGACGTTTATGTGTCAGAAGAGAAACACATGTGGGGCTCTTCAAGAGACACCTTAACTTTATGTCACAATGTCTACAGGTTAATATGAACCCATCAGAACATTGGCTAGAACCGATCAATAGGTGGATGTTCCATAATTTTCTCCAACTGAGTAAAAACAAAACAGAGGTAATAATCTTCCGACCAATGGTGGAGGGATCCAGAGTTGGCTCACAGCGTAGCTACTACAGCTAGAAACCAAGGATTCTGATTTTTGTGTCATGTTGGACTCAGTCCTGAACCTTCGTAGGCATAGAAAGGCAGTTACTAAGTCAGCCTTTTATCACCTGAAGAACATTAACAGGATAAAAGTAGTCATGTCCAAACAGGATCTAGAAAAAGTCTTTTATGTATTAGAATTGACTACTGCAACAGTGTCTTCATAGGTTTGCCTACAAATTGGATCAGACGACAGGAGCTGATTGGGTTTTCACTAGAACTACGGAAGCAGAGCACATCAGCCCAGTTCTGAAGTCCTTCCACTGGCTCCCTGTAGCTCAGAGAATAGACTTTAAAATCATCCTGTTAGTCTAGAAATCACTGAAATGGTCAGCATCTCTATACATAACAGATCTGCTGTCAGTGCATCAACCTCCCGGACCACTTAGATCTTCTGTTCACCCAGAACTACAACCAAACATGGAGTAGTAACATTTAGTTCCTATGCTCCACTTCTCTGGGACAAACTCCCAAGACAGTAAAGCTGAAGTTCTGTTAAGTCAAAGTTAAAAACTCATTTGTTTAGAGCTTCTTTTAACTGTTAACTGAGTTAATTTAAATTTGTGGTCCAACTTTTTTAAATCTTTGCTTCCTTTTATTCTGCATCTAATTTTCATTCATGTAAAATACTTTGAATTGTCTTTGTGCTGAACTGTGATGTATAAATTAACCTGCCTTGCCTCTAAGCTCAGTGTTTTCCACCACTTATTAAAACTGAAATTTTATATCCATCTTCTTTTTGGGACCCTGGCTTTTTCTGGAGAGGATCAGTTCTAATAAAGTTAGCAATAGAACCCAAAGAACATCAAAGAAAGTTAACTTTAAAGTCCTGATTGCCAACACTGCCAGCTTCATTTGCATGTGGAGGAAAGAGAGTTGGAGTCCTGTAGATTTTAGTTGGTGTTTGGCTGCAAAGAGGAGGTGAAGAGGGGGTTTTGGGGGTTGATGTTTATCGTCAAAGAGACACTATCAGTTTTTTCATTCATGTACTTCAGGGAATAGAAAATGTTGGAAGCCAAAAATTTTGCATCTGACCTATACAGGTGAAATTAATCTCTCTTGAAGAGGTGTCTCTTTATCACTAAAGCCAACTGATTATACAGAGCAGGCTTGTTTGGTCCATTTATTCACACTGAAATCTGCTGCTGAAGGATTTCCTACATGTTCACTAAGGATCATTTTAATGTGTTAGTTTCACAGTAGTAAGCAGGACAATCAGGTCTTTCTTTAATATTTTTACTTCCTTTTATCCATGTCCTCCAATTTAAAGGACTAAGTTTTTAACGTTGGGTGTAATTTTATGATCTTTTTTATCTTCTTTTTATTTCAGATACCATGCTACAGCTTACATTCATTATTTCTGTGTTTTTCTTGTTGCAGAAGCATCTATTCTCACTCACAGCATCATCAGTTACTATTAATGTTCTTCTTTTATCGGCTGGTTTATCCATGATGCTGTTTAGGAGAGAGCTGAATGTTCCCATACCTTTATATGTTGTCCGGAAATTGGATATTTTTGTTCAAAACAAATTTGTTAATGTGTCAAGGAAGTACATTTTGAATTGCTCTAAGAAAGATTTAACACTGCCACACATTTCACACAATATACGTCAAAATATATGAGAATAGAACAACATCAGAATAATAAGGCAACATCTGAAAGCATTATTCAGGCTGTTAAAGATTGGCAAAAATGGATGAGAAGAATGAAAAATGGTCCTAAACTAACTGCGAGTTCATTTCATATTTGTTTGATAGAAATAAAATAAATGTCTATAAGAGGCAAACACAAAATATATGATCTTGGTACCAATGAAATGTCTAGGTTGAGTTGCAAAGATTTGTGTGGGAGAGGCAGCATACCTCAACAGTTCCTTTTTTAGATGTAAGCTAAGATTCCAGCTAACTGTGACAGGATCCTTGTGGGAGGTGCCAAAAATAAATTATCTCTCTCTTTATTCTGACATTTTGCAAATGTAAATAAGTTTTTTGGTTATTCAAAATGATCCAAATCAGGAAACATAAGATATAATAACAAACAACAACAAGAAAACCCAGTTAGAATCTCTTCTTTTTGAATATCTAACAGAAATCTATTAACAGGTCCCTACAAAAACAAAAAAGAAATACTGTTCTACTTTTTTGATACAAAAAGGCTACATTTGTTGTGAACATTTTGCATTAGGTAACAACAAGCAAGATTAGAGGGTGGTGGTTTCAGACCTGAAGGCAATGAGTCTGAGTACGTGGATCTGTGTTCTCAAAGAACAGAAGCCTTTTTATTGTGTTGATTGAACGTTAAAAATAACCTTAACTACAATGAGGCTGCGGCGGCTCATCTCCAATACGTCATCAAGGCAAACATCTCCCTTTTTTCCTCACTCTGATACTTAACCTGCGCTGTTTGTTTGCTAATTTGACCAGTTCAACCACTTTCCTCAGTTCCCTTCTGGATGTATAGAATACTGTTTTGCATGCTGTGACAAAGGGTATGAAATATAGGTTGGAAATAACTACAGAATACAGATGCAACCTAACAGTTCTACAGAATGTATTTTTCATGCACCACATATGGGTTAAATTTGAATTACTTATTTAGAGACAGTTGAAACAACAATGTTTTATATCTCTGTAGGGTTAAACTCAATTAAACTAAAATAAAAATATTTCAATTAGGGATATCAAGCTGTAAAATCCTGATAATTTCTTCTAAATATAATAAACAGTAAATTCCAAAGTGTTAAATATGTAGTGTCAAAGTACATTGACTCTTTTAGTGTTATTGCAACAACAACTGGAGTAATATATACACTATATAGAGAGTTAATTTAACACTAATTCAGAGTGGGACCTAATCCACTCGGATTTGTGTTAAATTTTAACTCTTAGTGTGTTACTTAAAGTGTTACTTTAACACTGTAAAATGTATTCAGCTGGTCATAAAGGCCTAATGTTTATACTATGGGAAATAAATTATTGTTACGACCACCCAGGCAACAACATATTTGAGGACACGAGACAAACATGAGGTTCAAAAGAATTATTTTATTCTTAATCTCTGGAACTTCTTTTTAGATCAGTTGTGTTGTTTTTCTGCAAAGAGACAAAAAAAAACAGTCAGATTTTTTCCCAGTTCCCCGTGTCCAAAAAAACTCTAAAAAAACCCCCAAAGTATGAAGAGAAAGTTGGACCTGGTGAGCCGATCCAAAGAAACAAAACGGTACAGCAGAGGGCCAACCCTATACAGGGCCGTCGAAGCCTCTGCTAGTACCGAACTAACGGTTAAACCCCTAAAAAATAAAAAATAAAAGAACGAAAACAGGACAACCGGTCCCACCAGGTCAAAGTAACAAAAGACGTGAGACGTGCTCATCACGTCTGGACGCTCTCTTTGTGACGGTGGCTCGATCAGAAGGTTCGAAGGGAAAGAGAGAGAGAGAAAAACCCAGCCTACTTATAGGCTGACCAATATCACAACCAATTAACGTAATCGAATCATTTACAAAAGAAAAAAGAAATAATTATCAACTCTAAAATTTAAGTGACTCGACTAAGGTCTATACAACACCTAAAGGGAAAAAAAAAAGAAACAAAATAATTAATGTGCCCGACGCACATAACAATGATCAAAGAAATAAAAAATCTTTCAGCATAACTAAGCTCATAATCATCAACTATCTGCCTGAAATAGTTGGAAAATGAAAGGATAGCGGGTAGAGGAATAAAGAGATGGCACCAGTCCAGGGGCACAGTTTAAGAAAACCAAGGAAGGTACACCAGGTTAATGGCCAGGCAGTTTCTTCAATGGCTCCATCTCAGGAATAGAGAAAACTAAATACTGAAGCACTGGGTCTGTGGTACTTTCTACAGTAAAGAGGAAGAGGATACACAAATTCAGGTAACAAACAATCTTCCTTTTCTAGGAGAACTGAACAAAAAGTGCTAGACCATTTCACTTTCTACTGGGAAAAGTAGAGCACACATGCAGTAGTATGAGCTTATTAAAACCAAAGTGGGTACTTTCTATGGAACAAAAAGGGACGACATGCAACTTGCTTTCCAATAGTCTGTGGTTATAAGATGCAGTTGCTTTCTTGGTTGTTTTTAATCTAAAATACAGTTGAATAATTTCCGAATCACATTTCTAAAAGTGAAATTGCTTTTACAAAGACACTGGAAAACAGGTGGATGTTTTCATGGTTTGCATGCCTTTAGGTTATTTGCATGCATGCTGACAGGTGTGCCTGTGTCGAAGCCTACAGGTGATATACATGACCTTCTCTTCTCCTCCCTTCCCTCCCTCCCTTTGGAGCTAAAACTCCCAGCTCCATGGTGATGTGTTATTACTCAGCTGCTTTGATCACACCCACTCTCTCGCCCTCCCCTTTCTACTACTTATAACCAGTTGGTAGCCTCAAAATAATATGATATTACTTAGAAAGTACTCCTGAGGCTCTTTTGGGTGTAACGTTGCGACAAAGAAAGAGAGGAACTAAGAAGAGGGTGTATATATTCTGGGTCATTGAAAAATCACAGAGGGATATTGTGCTCCTGTGACTTCTCCGTTTCCCTTCACAACAGCTTCACCTCAGTAGCGAAGGTAGAGACTGAGACAAGCCACAGAGCTCTTCCTTGGATTTCTACTCTAATAGGTAAGTCATTGAGTGACCTTACTTTGTGGCTTTAGGCCTCTGAAAGGGATTCATCTGTTCGGGTTTTCCAGCCTTGTTATCTGCAGCATCATGGAAAGGGATCCATCAAACAATGATCCTTTGTTAAATGGGACCTGCCTGCAATTATTCCCCTGAATGCAACCCTTTGAGATTTGTCCATCTTTGTTTTGATGAAGTCGGTGAATGAGAGACGGTTAGAAAACGTCTTACTTTGGAAATATAAATATTTAACATGATTCTCCTAAAAGCAAAAACATCAATATTTCTTCGTCTCTAGTTGAAGTTCTGCTGATGGGCATTTTTTCAAGCTTTACCAGAGCACTGGAAGATTTTCATGTGACTTTAGCTTGTTAATACATCACTTAGCTGACTCCTTGGTGTCAGAGTGCAACTACTGACCATGAGGAAGCAAAGGAAACATTGCTGGAGTTTCGGGGATGCCCATGCAACAGCTCATTAAATTTTGGACATCATCCGGTCCGTGACTGTATGATTAACTTTAGGCCTTCCGTTAACAGATCAGTTACGGCCAAATGCACTAAAAAACAACTTGTTTGTCTCAAAGAACACCTGAGGAAACACTTGTTTGTCTAAAAGTAGGCATAAATATATAACACTACAGGAAATAAGAGCTGATAAGAGCTTTTCTTAGAAGAAGCTTCTTGTTATAGACAATGGGCCTCTGCCTTGTCATTGTATTTGGTAACAACAATTTATTTGTTCTGTTGCACCACACAAAGAGCTCTGTTCTGCTCCCTGGAGGGTCACAGAAATAAAAGCTTTCAAAGAAAGCAAACTGGTGTAAAATGTCGTAAAATGGAAGGGAGTTATTTCTATGTTTCTTAAGTGTTTGTGTAAAAAAACTGAATAGAAAAATGTTTTCCAATCATTTCATGTCCCGGTTTGGTAGCTGCTTTATCCCGACTTACTTCCGTGTTCTAGGTGTAAATTTCTTTTAACCGCCTTTGCACTTTTATATATATATAAAACCAAACTAGCACTCACTAGAGTTCTCTTTCCTGTCCATAGGTCAGTTTGCACTCGCCTGGAAGATGTTTCATTCCTGCTTTGACAAGCAAAAATTGAAAACTATAAAACGTTAAGCATTTTTTTTAACCATTTAGAGTTACAGCAATATTGGGTGAAGCCAAGTCAACTAGGTTTAAGAGACATCGAAATCACAATTGAGTAAAATTAGACCTGATTTAAAAATTTAATTTTAAAATTTCATAAGAAATTTTAAAAGAAAGTTCAAATTTCAACTTATCTAATGAGAACAGCTTCTGATCATAATTCATAAAATTACCTGACTTAAAAAAGTCTGATATGTTCTTCTTTAAGTACTTTTGTAATGCTGCTTCTGTAGTGGAAGAAATGGGAGTATAAATTAGCAAAGTGGTAAACAGATCTAATGACCTTTTTTAAACAGCCTGAATTCAATAATGCAGAAGTAGATAAAAAACATAAACATCCCCCACTTCCCATTTTAACCGTTCTAAACCAATGTACTGTACTTGAAATGTCTATTTTGGTTGTTTTAAGCTCTGTTTGCGTCATTTCACATCTCAGATATTACAAAATCTCCTCTGATTAACCGAAAATGACTGAATTTAAAAAACATTTATCAGCCACACAATCACACCTCGTTATTTCCTCAAAGAGGAATATAGGAATATTTTAGAAAATCTGCATTAATCATCAGTCCATCACTTTCTTCCTTGACTGATGATTCATTATTTTTTTTTATTAATTTTTTTTTATATGCTTATAAATTTAAAAACAACAAAATCTGCCAGGAAGAGGTTAGTGAAACTGATCAAAACCAAAATCTGAAGAAATTAGGTGAAAAAAAAACATCTTTACCCCTAAAATATGGTATTTTAAATTGTATGAGATTAGAATATTTTAGTGATTATTTATCTCCTCAGTGAATCAGAAATGCACTTAACTTTAAATAGATCAGACCATAAAGCAAGGGTTGCATAACTAGTGTGAAAAGATTTTTTTTTTCAAGGGTGTGAATTGGAATTAAGAAAGGAGGAAATGACAACATGTGAGTGTTGTAAGATCTATCTTTGGGTCCTTTTTACAGAGAATGTGATTATGAATAGATGATGACTTCTGATCAAACCGTAGCTGCTCCAACAACCATGTGTTCTGAGAGCTGACCACAGAGTTCGCTATGCAAAGAGACACGGGAATGTTTTTCCTCAGCAACAACTAAGTTTGCCTTCTTTATTTGCCTACAGTTTCACAATGAAATATGTTTTAAAAAAGAAAAAGGTGAAACAGAGAAGCATATTTTTTCAATCCTCACCCTTTCTCTTCTGTCACAGTCTTTCTATAAATTCTGCAGGTTCTTCGACTATGGAATTTGTTTTATTAAGCGCATATTGAGATATAAAGAGCAGAGTTGTGAGGTAGTTCACTATTCAAGTGACTCTAAAGGCCCCCCTACTTAATCATCTAATTGATATGCATCATCCTGATATGCATACCCAAAATTCAGTTATATTGGTACAATGATAAAGAGTATGATTTACAAAAAAAGATACTAAATTACTGAAAAACATGAACAAAATGTGATAAAATGTGAAAACATGCCTTTTTTTCTCCTCTATAGAAACTATCAGCTGACAAAATGGGATGCTTTGGATTCCTCAAAGGCATGATGTTTGTTTTTAACGGCATCATCTTTGTAAGTAACTTTTACATTTTTTAAATAAAACTAATTCAGCTCTCATATTACACAAACGTCTCTGTCTGACCAGAATCTAAAGTCAGAACATGCTGCTGCGTAAATGATTTGGATAAAAAAAACATGCAAATGAAGAGAGGACATGTAACTATGGGACACATTCATCAATAGATCTTTGTTAAACATCTAAAAATCATTTGAATGACCTATTAATATATATAAATGGGTTATTCTTTCACACCAAACTTTTCCAAAGAGTCTGTTAGACACAATGTTCTAGGTCAGACTCTAAACTTTCAGGAAGTAAAGGAATGATTTTGCAGGCAAACACAGACATCTAGTGGCCACGCTGCAGAAAGCCTTAATCTCAAATCCACTTAAACCAAATTAAATAATCTGGGTCTGGATCTGTAGAGAAAATGACTAAGTTTGTGTTCTTAGCACACAGCTTGGTGATTTGTTTTACTCTCCTTTTTAGTCCATTTAACAATTCACGTTATGTTTCTTTAATTGTGACAGTGCAACTTTAAAAGTTATTTTTAAGAACTTTTTTTTAGAAAGCTCCAAATTAAACTTCTAAAGCAAAATTTCCAGATATTTGGTGCTTAAATTCTGTGACTATAAATGTGGCTGCCGTTTCTCATAAAAATCTACTGAATATGAAAGATTGACATAATGAGGCATTCAATTCACTGTTAAATCCAACAGCTGTTCAGACTTTTTACAGATGACTTAATATTAATGAAGTTTTGGTCACTTTTGTTGTGAAAATTACTAATACTTAGAATTAAAAGTGAACTTTTCCTTTATTTAGAGTTAAGCTAATTTAATGCACTTAAATGCACTTTAAAGTTGCTTGCTAACTTCAGATAAATCAGATTTTTAAAATTATCTTGAAGTATGCTGTTGGTGTCATTAAAGAAATTCTTGAAAGTTAATAAACAGATGAAATTTACAAAGAAAACGTTTGATATCTTTAACTGTGATTCAGAACATTTTAGAAAACGGGAAACTGTTTTTAATTTATGTATAAATAGAGATATGATTTTTATATTTGATATATGATTTTTGAGATATTTAACATTTGTCCTTTAAGAGCAATTTGTTTCCATGCTTTTCATCAGGAAATCAGACATATGGTTCAAGGAAAATTAAACACAGAAAGGATCTGTCAGCCAAACTTTGAAATGATGGGCTGGTGGGCTGTGCGGTTTAGTAGTCTGTAGCACTGTTGCCTAGCAGCAAGAATGTCATGGGTCTTTTTTCATTGAGTTTGCATGTTCTCCGCATGCATTGGAGGGTTCTCTCCAGGTACTCTGGCTTCCTACTACAGTCCAGGAAAATAACTGAATTGTCTAAATAATCTACATTTTCTTTAGGTGTGTCTGCATGGTTTATGTCTGTGTGTTGCCCTGCGATGGACTGAGACTAACTTTTGTTAAGTTTCATTTTTTCATTTTTCATTTATTGTTTATTTGAAAGTTAAGTAGACTTAACGAAGATAAAGGTACCTTCACAGTCTACTTTAACATCCATCCATTCATTTTCCGTCACACTTTATCCCAGCATGTCAGGGTGCTGGTGCCTTTCTCCAGCTGTCTACAGTAGAGAGGCGGGGTCCACCTTGGACAGGTCGCCAGTCCATCGCAGGGAAACACAGAGACAAACAGGACAAACAACCATTCACACACACACTCAAACCACAAAGAGAATTTAGAGAAACCGGTTAACCTAACAGTCATGTTTTTGGACTGTGGAGGAAGGCGCAGTACGCGGAGAGAACCAACGCATGCTCAGGGAGAACGTGCAAACTCCAGGCAGAAAGGAATCAAACCCAGAACCGTCATGCTGCAAGGCAGCACTGCTTCCCCCTGCTGTACTGTTCAGCCGCCATTATTTCATAAGATAACCTAATTTGACTGTGTGCAGATAAAACAAATAATCCGGAGAGCAACATCTTCTGCAAGAAAAAGAAAGATTTTAAACCTTGTGGCTCAGGAGGTCAAAGCTTTGTCCTGAAACCTGTAGGTATAACTACAGACTGTTTAATCCTTTTTAAAAGCTAAATCTCCTCATGCATTGTGCAGAACATCTTCTTGCTCCCTTACTTACATGTAACACCTATGCTGAGATTTCTGTGGATGAAAGGACTTGTTTTCCCCCGTCTAAAATCATAACCAAGGTTCTAAAGGCATGTAATGCTGAGTTAAAGCAGCAATGACACCATGTCACATTTGATGCTCCAATGAGGTGACAAAAAATTACCATTTTTTTATTTCTCTTTTGAAGTAATATAATTTTTGGTTGATCAAAACAAAGATTTTTCTATCAATAAACCAAAATCCAATTACAAATCAATTACATCAATTTAAGAAAAAAAAAAAACTTTAAATGAAAGAAAGATGCACTGACTCAGCAACTGCCTGAGGAAGCAGTTCACTAAGAGAACCTACACATGTTCAGGGTGAACATGCAAACTCCAAGCAGAAATATACAGGGCTGAGAATCAAATCCAAAAACTTCTTCCACTGCTCCAGTGAGCAGCCCTCTACTTTAACAATTATTTTAAAATAAAAAGAGTCATAACCTGATATTTTAATTATACAATCCTTCTGAAGATGTCTTTAAATTCATGGTAAATACATTTTGGAGGAAAAAAATGTGAGATCATTCAGACCCCCATTGATGCCCTTATTTTTCTTTGTAGAGTATTCATTTGAATTTTTAGTTGTGTAAATTGTACATAATGTGGATATAGAGATAGCAATATTAGCAGTTAGACATAATTTCTTGGTTTATTATGCAATAGGTAAAAAGTTACACTAACAGCAACATGTTCTGACTGCAAGTAGGAAAGACCCTGATTGGTGGAACAGACGGTTACTAGCAAGACGGGGTAATGATAGCATCCTCTTGTGATTGACCTAAATATAGAAGGGAAGCTAAAATTGTGCTTTGTGTAGACCAGGGGTGCTAAAGTCCAACAGCTTCTATCCTGCAACTTTCGATGCACCCGGTTTTTAACACAACTGAGTCAAATGAGTGGCTTATTACTGTGATTGCTGAACTAAATTAGTATATTGAGCCTTTAGATTCAGGTGTTAAAGAAGAGATGCATCTAAAAGTTACAGGATGTTGGCTCTAGAGGACTGGACTTCAGCACCGTTGGTGTAGACCAAGATTTTGTAGGTTTTTCTGCTTTGCACAAAGAGGAAAAATCACTCCGGATTCCTGGCAGGTTTTACACCAACAGAATGGATTACTCCTTTAAAATTGTTTTCTAATGTATGTTCCTAACAGAAAATGATCCAAGGCCAGTGAGTCTGAGTGTGAAAAATGTATTAATTGTATCATTTTTCTTTAGGTAAAAAATAAAAACGGGTCGCAAAGACCATAACACCACATAAGGGTTAAACCTCATTAAGATAAATGTATCTGCTAAATCAGGGATCTGCAACCCTGGATGCTTTTTGTTTTAGTGCTTTTGTTTGGTGCCCATATAAAAACCTAACCGCTCCCTTTCCATGCTAGAAAATGTCTAAACCGCCTCTGGTGGTTCCACCCTCTCTTTAAACAGTCTGAGTTATCTTCTAACAAATTTCTCCTTCTTCTTTTCTCTTCTGTTTAGCTGGCAGGGATTGCCATCCTGGGTGTAGGAATCTGGGTAAAGGTTGACAGCGGCTCCATCTTTAACTTCTTAGAAGAAATTGAAGATGTTCCACCAGAAATTAATCAGGTGCTCAATGTGGGATACCTATTGATTGCCATTGGTGGTGTCCTTGTGATCATCGGGTTCCTTGGCTGCTGTGGGGCCATCAGGGAGAGCAAGTGTATGCTGATGCTGGTAAGATTTCTTCTGTTCATTGTTTAAAAAGTCCAAAGCAGTAATTTTATGGGGCTTTTTGTTTCTATTTTTTAAGTAACATAAGAAATTTGGTTGTACAATTAATTTGAAAATAATCCTGTCAGTGAAATGTTTTGAATTCATTTCTAAGTGTTATGTTCCATTTATTTTCCTAATAATGGCATACAGCTTATAAAAACAAAAAAAATTCAGTTTCATTACACAAAGTTATTTCTGTACAGAAATGTTTTGCCATGACCTTCCCAATCATAAGGAGCACAGATAGCTTCACATTTGTCCAACAGATTGTCATTGAAGCCATAAGAACAGTGATTCAGAAAAGGTCAGCGCTCAAAAAGCTCTTTTTACATAATGTTGTGTTCAACTACTGTATACTAATGGATATTTTATATGATGGAAAGGATGTACACCAATTGCACAAGTAAGAGGGACATTGGCTACATTACTTTTGTAGAGCCACCCTAAACCAGCATCAATTATTTACCATTAGGCAATACTAGGCAGTTGCCTAGGGTCCCAATTTCTTTGGGGCCCTATAAAACTCTGTTTACATGTACGGTTAATACAACTATTCCTTATTTGTGCACATTAATTATGTTTTTGCTAAAAATCCTTTTGCTAAAATGCCATTAGAACGCTTAGAATATTAACTATGTCTCTAAGAAGGACTGTTATTTTACTTTTGCGGTCGCCTTTTTGGAAACACAGGAAGGAGCAATTATCTAAGTGTTTAGTTTAGAGGTTGGAAAAAATCCTCCTTTCCTTTTGAGACAGCATGAAGTCAGCAGCGTACAAAACATAGAGAGGAAAACAACAAGAAAGGGGACAAGAAGAGGTTCGAAAAAAGGACATTTGAAGAACATGCTTGTAAAAATGTTCAACTTTAAGTTTCTTTTTAGTTTTAAGAGTTTCTTTTTATTTATATGCAAGATGTCATCCAATATTCTTACAGTTTGCTTTCCAAATATTATATTTTCACTTAGTTTTTTTTCCATATTATGTTTTTTTTTTGGGGGGGGGGTTACTTTCCAAATATTTTTTAAAAATATTACATATTTTTTTATTTACATTTCTTTCTAAAGGAAAGCAAGTCAGAAATACAAAAAATAATAATAATAATAATTGAAAATTATCAAACTAAAATTATTGGTTGATCATTTGGTTGGATAACATGTAATGTGAATCCCAATGGTACAGATATTACTGTATTTTGCATCAGTTTTTAAACACATAAAATGGAGAGCAGCTAACAGTGGCTAGCGTCAGGCTATTAGTAGTTAGTTCCACTTGTAGTGGGAGAAAGATATTCAACTCTGCACTCCTGTTTAATAAAGGAGATCATCACTCAGTCGGCACTTTATTCTATTTGCAAAGAAAAAAGATGGCATGATATCCGGCCCTCCTTTGCTTAGACAAGTTTTCTTACTAACTTAAACCCTGCAGAAGTGCTCATACCATGAGTCAAAACAATTGCAGTTGGAGAAAGCAGTAAAATATTAATAAAAAAAACATTACAACCAGTCTAGCTTGTTATGAAAACAATTTTTCTGATCACAAACCCTCCCTACTACCCTTTGTCATGATGGGTCTAATGTGTTTGCCCCACATGCAGAAGCACTCACAGAGATTGGAAAAGGTTAAACAGTTTATTGAAGAGATAACAGTACAGAGACTAGGAAAAAAACAGTTCTTCTGCTTGGGGAGGTTCCAGCGATCAGGTGAACCGTAAGCTGAAGCTCTAAGAGGAGATTATAGTGGTGAGTTCAAGGACTGTGGGAATACTGGCCGTTTGTCTGAATTCAAGGTTAGACTTGGTCTTACTGTGGTTGTTTGGGGAGGTTTCCAGAGTTCCCGTTTGTGAAGGCTTAATCTGTAGAAGGTGTTTGCTGGAGGGCAGACAGGTAGACTATGGTGGTCCTGAGGAGCAGCTGAGCAGAATGTCACAAAGTTCCTGAAGAGATCTGTCTCCTATTCTCAGTGTGACGAGAGAGTCCCTTACAAGACTTGAAAAGCCTGGCTTACCCAGTGGATCAGTGATATCCTGCCGGAGAATTAAAAGACAAAACCTGGTTAGCGCTGAGAGCTCAGAAGAAACTGGGACTCAAAGTTAGACTCTGCAAACTCTGAGGGGCTAGAGTACCCAATACTGGCAAACACTGGTGAGGAAGTGAAGAAAGTCTGCTGCTTAAATACTCCTCAGGAAGCGATGACCCAATAGGCTGCAGGTGTGAGAGGTGAGAAGAACAGGAAGCCCTCCAGACCAGCAGAGAAAAATGGCTCCATCTGGTGGGTGCACAGAGGAACTGCAAAAGAACAAAAACAACCCCCACAAACTGGAACCCTAACACCCTTCTACTTTAAACCTCTTGTAGCCTTGTAACACTGAGGCCTGAATGAATTAAACTCAGCACTGTTAACTGAAAATATTGAGAAAAAATGTTGAGATATGTCTGTTCTTAGCCTCACAGGCTCCAAACGAAGGTCATTAGAGATAAGAATGAGTTATACAGCCTCCTTCATGGCATGAAGGGGAGGACTGTTGTTTTGAGAAGATCATCTGGCCAGTGAAATATATATTAACCTGACAGAGAACGGCTTTGATTAACTCAAGATGTTTTTCCTCTAAATGTTCGAGTTTAAGAAAGCTCTTTATGCAGGGGGTGGGTTGGTTCCCCTGGGGGGAAGTGTGTATATTGGGAGTTGCTGTATAAAAGTATGTAATGAGCTTTGCCCAGTCAGATCCCTATCTCTCCGTCTGAGGACATTAAATAAATCTGAACCTCAGCCTCTGTCTCACCCTCCTAACTCCACAATATGTAAATATGGGATTAAAGGAAAAATAGATTATTTTTCCCACCACACACCTCAAATAGGAAATCCAGCAGTACTGCTGACCAGCTGGAATGCTATTTTTCTCTCCATAATTATAACCCAGTATAAGATTTTGTTAATTAAATTTCAATTATTTACAGAAAATGTGTCTAACATGCATTTTTAATTGTGAGGTATAGCTGCTATCAGAAACATTTATCAATCTGATCTTCTTTGCAGTTCTTTATCATAATCTTGTTGGTCTTCATCGCGGAAGTCGCAGGGGCGGTGGTTCTTCTGGTGTTCCAACCTCTGGTGAGTGAGTGGTGACTATAAAGTAACAGCTTCACTGACAGGATGTAAGACTTAAAATTAGATTTTCTTGATAGGCGGGGGAAATTCTTCAAAAGTTTGGCGATGAAGTGGTCAAGAACATCAAGGATCAATATGGGAAAAACGACGACATTACTGGACTCTGGAATTCTACCATGGATACGGTAAATAAGTCTTCTTAGCTTATAATGAGTTCTTCCATACAAAATTGTCCTAAAATGATCTATTCTGATCTCTAATTGCAGTTACAATGCTGTGGATTCTACAACTACACAGACTTCAAAGGTTCCCCGTATAATAATCAGGGTGGTAAATATCCGACGCAGTGCTGCCAGAGCGACTTGCCCTGTATTGAAGCTACAGCTATCGTCAAAGTATGAATCTGAAATTCAATCTGAAAGAAAAAATTTTTCTCTTACTATATTTTGTTTCCCCAAATCCATTTTAAATTAAACTTTTCTGTTCCACTCTTAAAGAATATAGATGGATGCTTTCATAAGATCGAGAAGCTGATTAGTGAGAACACAAATGTGATTGTGGCGGTTGGTCTTGGGATTGCTGCCCTGGAGGTAAGATCCAGAACTCAATTTAAGGAAATAAAACATAAATACATCTTGTGAATATTTTGCTACTTTTGGGGGTAATAACATGTTTGGTTTTTTTGTTTAATTCTTCTTAGGTGTGTGCCATGATTGTCTCAATGATACTTTACTGCAAAATCAAGTCCTGAAGGGCCAAACCATGAGCAGTTGGGCGTCACTTTAGGCACTGAATTCCTTTTACTTCCTACTTCCTGAGTCTCATTGGTGGAAACATCCAGTGTAATTTTAGGTCTTTTGCAATCAAAGACAGCTGAATGATATTTTAAATTATACTTTTTTTGTTAAATAAATCATTAAAAATCAATCTATGAACTACATATATGTTATTGTACAGTATATATCAGAGAGGGCTAAAGCATTTAACACACATTCAGTTATTGGGGAATTACATGGTACAGTATCTGTAATAATGAAGCAAAAGCTGGTTGTTGTGTTTAAGTGTAAAGATGAATAAAACCTTTTTTGTATAATAAAGGTAACAAAAATAGTTGTTTTTATGTTGTAAAGTGATTCGTATTCATAATAAAGTAAAATGTTCTGATTTCATTGTTGCTGTTGAGATGTTAACTAATCCTAATAGGCATGTCTATTGGTTTTGAAAGCATTTAAACACGCACATTTTAAACACTTGTTTTATTTACAATGAGCTTTATGTAGAGGAGCACAAAAAAGTGAGGTAATAACCTATAATGGATGATGATGCAGCTTAGGTAACATCAAAGCTTCATTACATGTGACTGTAAACAACAAAAAACAAAGTTTCCTTCACAACAGATCACTGCCAGTGCGCTAATCTGATGTACAACCACTTTTAGATAGATTTACTTTAACCAAAATCGCAAAAAGTGAGTGAGAGCTATGAAAGTGAGTAGTTGGGGAGACCAGATGTCTCTTAAACTAAAAGATATATAAAAAAAAAATCTTTTTTAGATCAGCTTTTGCCCTTAGGCTAATGAAATAAATAGAACCTTGGTTTAAATCGAACAAACATAACAAAGCTAAGGGAAAAGGACTGACCAGAGCTACAACATAGCTAAAAGGACGGGTCACACCAGTTGGTTATGACTTTTTCTGCAACTTTTTTCCATGTCACTCTGACTGCATATAGAGAGGCTCTGACTAGGCAGGGTGAGCAGATCTTGTCATGGTTTTATCAAGAGCTCGGACCCACATGCAGATAAACCAGTCCAGAGAGACAAGGGAAAAAGTTTAACAGGTTTATTGAGAAGTTTTGTGGAGGTTCCAGTGTTGCTCTGAACACTGCTCAACCGGAAGTGAAAGGTTAGGGGAAGACACTGCGGTTAGTTCAGGTTCAGTAGGAGAATTGATTCTCGAAATTGTAAAGGAGAAAAGGTTGGCAGACTCGTGTTTCCAGAGATTAGATTTTCTCTTAGACTACAGCTTGTGAGGAATGTGTTCCGGTGTTTGTCACATACGGAGGAAGGCGGACAGGGTTACCCAGAATGCAGTTGTTTGTAGATGAACGGAGAAAGACTGACTGCCACTCAGATTTCCTGCGGTATGTGAATGGACTGTTGTGCAGATGAATCCCTTGCTCAGTATGAAGCTCAAACGTTTTCTCGGGGAAAAGTGGATCCAAACCTCCGGTTTGTATCCTCAGCTGGGTTTGAAGCTCAGGTGATCCTTCCAGGGAGAGAAGGTCCGAAAAATCCAGTTTGCAGGATGACTTCCTGCCAAGAGGCAAAGACAAAAAACAAAGTTAAGACTCAGATTAACAAAAACTTAGTTTGACTCAGCAAAACTCAGCTTGGCTAGAGTACCCAAAACTGGCAAAAACTCTGGCGTCGAGGTAGTGGCAGTCAGCAGCTTAAGAACACTCTGTTAACGAGGTAACCCCGTGCAGGTGTGTGAGGGGGAGAATCAGAACCAGGCGCCGCCTGGTGGAGGAAGAAAGACAAACACACAAACACACAGACCACACAGACTGGAGTCCTAACAGATCTGTGCAGTATTTTTCTTATGTCTCTGTGCCACACAAATTTAAATTATTTTCCACAGTAGATTGGACAGATTATGTACAGCAAAAAAAAAAAAAAAAAAAACAGGCGCAGCTAATGGAAAGCCCCACTTCACGAGTCTGTGCAGCATCTCAAACCAGAACAGATAAATATTTTTCAAGGGCCTACAATAAAAATATAATGGGAACTACATTTAAAGAAAAGGAAAATGCAGCAATAAAAGCTGTTGGACAGCTTATATGCTGACTGAGGCAGTGAGGTGATTCTCAGAGAGAGATCTGGGAAGTTTGTTGAATATTTTTTGTTTTCTTTTTCTCCTAAAAAGGGGACAGATATAAAATGTGATTACCTGCACTGTATGCCCCTCATTTCTTTTTTGCGAGGCTCAAAGAGAATCACTAGTTTATCCTTTTTTTGTCCTTCTCAACTGCTATCATGGATAAAATATTGTTTTTAAATCTTTAATTGATTTCTTTGTCCGAGTCTCTCTCTCTCTATATATATGTGATGTGGAACTCCAAAACGGTCTGTTTTCCTGTGTGCTTAAGAAATTTTATTTAGCATTTTCCCCAAAGTGGACGTGTTTTACTTTGTGTTTTACTTTGTAACCGCGTTTCTCTTCCTGTCCGACCCACTAAATTGCTGCTGAATCAGATTAAAATAGACCTGGGGTCTATCTCAGTAGGAGCTGGGCAAGCCCTCTGACAGAAAACTGTGTCGGGTGTGATCATTCCCATTGACTATCAAAGAGTGCTTAACGCCACAACCTCGTTTGACCTGATTTTCTGTTAGATCGGGTGTAGAATGGGATTTCTTGTGCCCTGGAAGCAGCCACCGAAACCTATACAACTGCCCACAACCATATAAGAACAGCCCACTGTATTTATTAACAAAAATAAATCTTTTTGTGACATGTACTCTGTTTGTCACATGCTATACTATACACCTCCATATGTTTTGGCTTTTTTCAGAGCCTCTGCCATTTCTACATTTATGTAACTTATGTTTGTTGTATTTGTTTTTTCGGAATGTAGCAGTCCTAATTTGACCAGCGTCATTCATGTGAGAGTCTGTGTCACAATGGCGTCTGTAAGGTTGAAGGCTCCCTGTTTCAGCAGTCTGCAGATCTTTTTCTGCCTTGGTGTTGTTAATGTTGACCCATTAAGAGCCAGGTTCATGTCAACCTGTAACATCAGGTTGTTACAGGTGGCACATCCAGCCAGTCACGGTCAGAGAAACAGGACTACACTGGAAAACAGACTGATCTCCAGCATCTATAAACAAGGGTGTTGATGGCAGCAGCACAGCTGATATTTCTCTCCTGGATGGGGTCACAGCCAAACAGGAACAGACGAGGCAAAGATACTATGAGAAAAAGCAGAGAGAGTGTCATGATTGGTTTTATATCAAACCCACATGCAGAACACAACGGAGGCTGGGTAAAAGTTTAACAGAGTTTATTTAAGATGTTGACACACAAAAACATGAACTGGATCTGGAACAGGTCCGGGTTGGGTTCACTGAAGTCTGCAGAGATGATAGTTTGATTAGCTGGGCAGGCATGATTAATGAGTCCTTTTAGATAATTCTGATTCTACCTTGACGGGGTCCAGGCTTCTCTTGTGAGAGAGGGAACCGTTGGGTCCAGAGACTGTTGGTTCAGCAGAGTACACAAGCAGCTGCAGCGTCTAGCTTCTGACTTTGAATGGCAGACCTTGATCAGAGTTTCCAGCTCTTCACAGAGAGCAGCAGGGGAAATCCAAATAGGAATCTTCAGGTTTGGCTCACCACGGCTGGAAGGCAGGTTAAGCTCACCCAGAGCTTCAGGCTTGAGACAGGTTTCCAAACTAAGGTCAACACTGCGGCGTTGAAGGAAGGTCTGGCAGCTGCTTATGAAGGGAAGGTCTCCTGATGAGTAGATGCGTCTCAGGTGTGCTGGAGGGCCTCAGCCCATGAGACCCACGGCGCACTCTGCTGGAGGAAGGTGGTACATCCCCAGATCCCAACAGAGAGGAGAACGTTAGAAATGGAACTAACAGATTCTTCAGAGTGGGAGAATAGAGAGAGAATGAAGCAGAATGATGAAATGGGGTCCCTATGTCTTACAGCAGTCTAGGCCTATAGCAGCATAACTACAGAGATAGCTCAGGATAACCTGAGCCACTCTAACTAGAAGCTTTATCAAAAAGGAAAGTTTTAAGCCAAGCCTTAAGAGTAGACAGGGTGTCTGCCTCACAGACTAAAACTGGTAGTTGGTTCCACAGGAGAGGAGCCTGATAACTAAAAGATCTGCCTCCCATTCTACTTTTAGACATTCCAGGAACCACTAGTAAACCTGCAGATTGAGAGCGAAGTGCTCTTTTAGGAACATACGGAACAATCAGATCTCTGATATAAGATGGAGCTTGGCCATTTAAGGCTTTATATGTGAGAAGGAGGATTTTAAATTCTATCCTGATTTTAACAGGAAGCCAATGAAGAGAAGCCAGGATAGGAGAGATATGATCTCTGTTTTTAATTTTCATCAGAACTCTGGCTGCAGCATTTTGAATCAGCTGAAGGCTTTTAACTACAGTTTGTGGACTTCCTGATAGTAAAGAATTACAATAGTCCAGCCTTGAAGTAACAAATGCATGGACTAGTTTCTCAGCATCTCCCCTGGACAGGATATTTCTAATTTTTGCAATATTCCTCAGATGAAAGAAGGAAATTCTAGAAACCTCTTTGATATCGGATTTAAATGACAGGCCCTGATAAAAAAAAACACCAAGATGTTTTACTTTATTATCTGAAATCAGTTTAATCCCATCCAAATGAAGTGACTGGCTTGCGTGTAAAATTTAGAGGACGGTCTTTTTTTAATCTTTGAAGAGGAGGGACCACTGTAAAAAATTAAGAGGAGGGTCTTGTTTTTTGTCTTTCAAGAATAGGGACTTGTATATAAAAATTAGAGGAGGGTTGGGTTCCTGCAGGTGAGGTGGAGCTCATTCTGAGTCGCTCTATCCATAACCACCCTTCAGTGCAAAGAGCTGTAGTTTTTTCCATTCCCACCATCATATAGAGGGTTAATTGATGCTGAATATCAGTGATGTTTGAGCAGCAGCGTTTCTCTGGTCTAGTTCTGATTGTGAGGGGACACCTTCACTTTCACATCTTCACTCTCTGCTCCTCAGAGCCAGGTTCATGTTGACCTGTAACATCAGGTGAAACATCCCAGTCAGATTCTCTATTGGTGGGATCATGCTGCTCCTCAGGATGCGGGAAATACTGAACGTCAAGGAAAGACCTCGAGAGTCTTGGTAGCTGAAGCGTAGATGGAGCAAGAAGCCCAAGCCCATCAGTCTCATTTCCATATGCTGAGGTTCATTCACACAGAGTGATCTTCTCTGTCTTTCCATTGTAGACAAACAATCAGTAGACAGATGAATCTAAGTGTTGGACGAACACCTGTATTTATGGTTTTAAAAAATGGGAGGGACTTCTCTCTCCTCCTTCAAGAGGAGGGACTTGTCTGTCTAATATATAATATATTCTTTTTAATGGGAGGGAC